GCGACACCCTTCACACTAGCATCCAAAAAAATGAAATACTTAGAAATTACTCTCACAAAAAATGTTAAAGACCTATACAGTGAAAATTACAATACACTGAAAAAAGAAATTGAAGATAATCTCAGAAAATGGAAAGACATCCCTTGCTCATGGATAGGAAGAATAAATATTGTGAAAATGGCCATTCTCCCAAAACTCATACAGATTCAATGCAATCCCAATAAAAATACCACCAACATACCTGATAGATCTAGAGAAATCACTCCTAAAATTCATCTGGAGTGAAAAGAGACCTAGAATAGCAAAGACAGTTCTAAGCAGCAAAGGCAAGGCAGGAGGAATCACAACTGCTGACTTGAAGTTATACTACAAAGAAACTGTAGTAAATACAACATGGTACTGGAATTGAAACAGACCTGAAGATCAGTGGAATAGATAAGAAGATACAACCACAACTACAGACACACTCAACCACCTTATCTTTGATAAAGGAGCCAAACAGGTTCACTGGAAGAATGACAGTCTCTTTAATAAATGTTGTTGGAAAAACTGGCTCTCCATTTGCCAAAAACTAAAACTAGACCCATACCTATCACCATGTACTAAATTAAAATCTAAATGGATCAAAGATCTGAATATTAATACAGAAACACTAAATCTATTGGAAGACAAATTGGGTAGAAACTTTGAAGACACAGGGGTAGTTAGAGAATTCATGAACAGGACTCAAACTGCACAGGAAATACTTCCCAGAATCAGTAACTGGGACCACCTCTCATTAAAAAGTTTCTTCATGTCAAAAAAAATCTCCAGCATAGTGAAAAGAAAACCCACAAAGTGGGAAAAATTCTTAGTGAACTCTCCCTCAGACAAGGGCCTTCTGTCTAAAACATATAGAGAATTTTTTAAAAATCCGACCCCGAAAATTCAAAAATCCAGTCCAAAAATGGGCATCTGAGATGAATATACACTTTGCAGATGAAATACAAATGCAAATAACTACATGAAAAAATGTTCATCATCACTCCTCATTAGAGAAATGCAAATTAAAACCACACTGAGATTCCATCTCACTCCTGAAAGAATGGCCAGGATGAAGAAAACCAGCAACAACAAATGCTGGAGAAGCTGTGGGGAAAAAGGCACTCTTATGCACTGTTGGTAGGAGTGTAGACTGGTACAACCATTGTGGAGGTCAATCTGGAGATTTTTCAAAAAGATTGGAGTGGAAGTCCCATTTGTTCCAGCTATTCCACTTCTAGGCATATGCCCAGAAAAACTGAAAGCATCATACCACAGTGGTATATGTGCACCTATGTTTATAGCAGCACAATTTGTAATAGCCAGATCTTGGAAACAACCCAAGTGTCCATCAAATGAGGAATGGATAAAAAAGTTGTGGTGTTTTTATAATATGGAGTACTACTCAGCTATAAAGAAGGATCACATTGAAATATTTATAAATAAATGGGCACAGCTTGAGACCCTACTCCTAAATGAAATAAATCAAACTCACATGTATAAATACCAAATAGTTTCCCTAGTGTAAGAAATGATTCAAATATATAAAATTATGTGGTACTCATGATTCCCCATTATGTGGCTTTGCAGCCTTATAAAGTTTTCACTCAGTAATTGGAATGGCTTTATTCTGGGATGCTTGATATTACTGCCTGTGATGAATGAACTGCTATTTTGAAGAAAAGAAGACATCACAATAGCTAGTGCTGATTTAATATCATCTTGTTTTGAATTCCAACCAAACTGTTGCTCTTCTGTCTCCATTGGTTTTATCATGTTGTATCATACTGGATTTTATTATATGTGATAGTATAAATAAAATTTTTTATAGGCAAAGAGATAACATAGAAACCATTGTTCATTTTCCATTACCTGGTTCTAAATACCCTATAATACTTTCATCCTCTTGAATGGTTTCACAGTGTCTTGATATGTTTGATGCTATAGAATACAAAGTTATATTCAAATATTTCAAGGAAAGAGACACTATGGTAACTATTATTAAGTCGGGTTATTTGGTGGTGAAGCACCAGGTTGCTGAAATTGTCATGCTTTGACCTGTATTGTTATGTTGTTATATCCTCTTTTATCTCACTCTCCCCCTTATTCATTAAAAAATATTTTTTAATTTTTTAATTAAGGGAAAAAATAAAAAACATAGTAGGATATATTATAGTAACATTTTGATTTCCTATTAACTTGATTTGACACCCCGTATTACTCCCACTGTTTTGTTTTGAATGATTAGGCTCTATTCCACTCTGTTTGATAGTATCAAGTTTGAGGGTATAGGGAACTACTTTGAAGGTAATAAGATTCACTATGATGCACATTCTGGTTTGACTATTATCTTCTTTTAAAGTCCTGTAATATTTCCAATGTTTAGGTTTTATTGGTCTTGTTCTGTACTGTTTTGTTCAAGTTTATTATACCTAATCATATAGGCAATTATTTTTAAGGAAGCAAGAGGCATTATGGTAACCATTGTTGATAACCTTGTATTCTGTTTTTACATCATGTGCTATGTCTATCCTTTGCTTTGATTGACTGCTTTGTTTTGTCATACTTGGTTTTATTCTCTTCCAAAAAAAGTAATAATAACTATGGGAGTAATAAAACCCAAAATGTGTAATTTTTTTTTATAAAAAAAGTGCTCTAAAGGATACAACTGCAAGTGTGTTTAGGTGTGTTAAGCTAGATGACCATATTACTGAGTTTTTGTTGGATCACTGAACACAACTGTTTGTAGTCTCACTGTTTGAATGTCCACTTTGTATGCTTTAATCCTGTAACTTGAACAACTATTTCTAAGATGACAATGTTATCTATTAACTAGTGATTTCTTACCTTTTTTTCTAATTCTGTATTACTTGTACTTTTATACTGTTTTGTTTTTTTTCTATTTTCCTTTAAATAAAAAAACCAAAAATTTAAAAAATGAAGAAATACAGCAAAGAGATAGAAAATAAGAAGGAAAAATTAGGAAACACGAAGGATCTAATACTCATCAAATTTTATTTCTAGAATGAGATGATGGAGAGATTTTAAGGGAATAATATTTAGAGGTACAATATCTGATATTTTTATAGAATTGAAAGTTTCAATTCTTAGATTCACAAAATTCAATAAATTTCAAGCAAGATAAAAAATTAACATCTAGACATATAAGAGTGAAACTTAAAGGCAAAAAAATTTTTAAAAAAGATTTTAAGAGTAGAAAAGAAACAACAGCTAAACTGACTTAAGTTTTTTATCTACAGTAGAAGCCAGAAGACAAGGATATTAATGTCTTAGAAGTGCTGGAAAAACAACTGTCAACTAAAAACTAAAATTTTTATACTTGTGCAAACTATCATCTATGATTGAAGATGCTCACCCCACCAAGATAGTTTTACAGAAAAAGAAGGGTGAGTTTATTATCAAATAGATTCCAAAGTAAGATGGAAAATGAATCCAGAAGACTTAAGATGTAATAAGCAAGAAAGATCGAAGAAATTGGCCAATATGTGATTAAATCTAAGTAAAATTGACTGTATTCAGTCATAATAAAAACAGCAATAACAACATTAATAATTTAGTAGCGGGTTAAGACTAAGGTTGAACTAAAATACAAAATAACAAATTAGGAGACAAAATAGCTGGAGTTTTAAAGTTCTGTTGTTTGGGAGGATGATGAAAATACTGATTTTAATTTTTAAATCATACATATTAAAATGCTATGTGTTCAAATTAGTTGTATAATAACACATAAGGAATTATTTCAAGCAACTGTAATGTATAATATTTTGACCTCATACCCTTAGTGGGATGTCTACAAGAACAGAAAGAGGCATGATGAAATGTTTAAAAAATGTTAAGGGTAACCACTAAAAAAATAGAGACAGAGTATTTAAACAGAGTATAAAAATAAAAACTCAATCCAGGATAAGAGAAAAATAAAGTAAACTTTGCACACTCAAGACAATAAAAATAAATTACAAAAAAAATAATTATAATAAGAATAAATGTACCAAACTTACCATTCAAAAGATATATTTCAGATGGTAAGATGAAAAGATCTTAGATGAAAAGATATAATTTCAGTTTGGATAAGAAACAACAAAGCATAAATGCATGCTGTTTACAAGCCTTATGAAACAAAAATCTATATATACTAATAAAGAAGAACTAGGCAAATGCTCATCAGAATAAATTTTGTATAGTTACATTAATGTTAGATAAAATATACTTTTGGCAAATAGCATTAGTTAGGAAAAAGAAGTTTGGGCACTGCAATAATAAAATGTACAATTCATGGAGAAGCGAAGATATGATTTCTCTAAATTTTTACACCTTTAGTAACATACCCCCAAATACATAAAGGAAATGAAGGCAAATTGAATATGTGCTTATAAATCATTTCTGAGGATAAAGATAAAAGTGAAGATAAAAATAAAAGTACTTTATAACTGAAGACAGTATTATTTCATTTTCTGAGATGCCCTTATTTTCTGATAATTGTTCACAGGAGTTTATATCATAAATTGAGTACGAGTAATAAATATTCTAAAATGCAGAACTTGGTAAGTACAGGCTAGATTAAAAGCAACAATTACTTATCTCATATGGAGATTGGATTTGACAGGAGAAGTATCCACTATCCATAAGGATGATTCCAACTGCCTACAGATGCTAGAGCTTTAAGCAACTTGACAACAAAATGTCAAGAAACTGGAATATATTGAACTATAGTCATCAGATACCAGAGAAAAGTAAAGGATAAAATGGGCTCTTCTAAAATCAGAGCATGAGCAGGAATCTGTTGTCTATGGCTAAGAATTTGAGCTAGATAAGGGCTAGATTATCATGTAATTTATAGAATAGAAGCTGCTGCAATATATGCTTTGACCTGTTTCTAAAGCTGTTTGGGAAACTATGAAACCTAGAATAGATATTTTAGAGATCAATCCTAGGAATTAGGCCATTCTACCAAACCTTACCTCTCCCTTGGGATAGCGGTAACGATATTTATCTTGGTCCCGTAGTGCAAATTCTTCAGGGTAGTGTTCTTGGATTTCTTCATAGGTCATTTCCTCACAGACACCCTAAAAAACCAGTATAGACAAGATTATTGACTTTTTGAAATACACACAAAAATACACATAATCTTTTCCATATTTCTGAGGTCAATGACTATGGAGTAGAACATGATTACCTGTATCTCTGTTAGCACTGCTGAATTTGTGCCTACTGTTTGTATGCATGTATATATATATTTGTATGCATATATATATATATATATATATATATATATACACATATATATGGATGGATGAAGTGTGTGGTTATGTGGATGTGAGAAAAAGTGTATCTGGATGGATGTATTCAGGTTAAGTGTATGGTGTTTTTGTATGTCTGTCTCAATAGGTCTATAGGTATACCTTTATACTATGTATTTTTATGAATGTGTAAGTATAAGGATTTGTGATTATGTTTACAAATGTATGTGCAGCATACTTATAAAATGTATATGTGATGGGCTTAAGAATTTATGTCTTGTGTTTGTGTATATATTAGTATTGGCATATGTGGTGTGTTTGTGTGGTTTATGTGTTATGGTTTGAATCTATTAGGTGCTCCAAAGACCAGCTGATGGACTGTATGGAAGTGATTGGATCATAAGGACTCTAATTTAATTAGTGGATCAGCTCTCTGATGAGAGCATAATTTGATGACATTATTGAGAAACCAAGAGGAGGTGGTATCTAGTTGAAGGGAGTGAAGCATGGGACTGTGACCTTTGAGGAATGTATCTGGCCCCTAGTTTCTTGTCTCTAGCTTTTCCCCTTTCTCTCGCTTGCTGGGTGCCATGAGATGAGCAGCTTTCTTTCACCATGTCTTTCTCTCATGTTTGTCTTGCAGAAGATTATGAATGGAAACCTCTGAAACCATGAGTCAAAATAAATTATTCCTCCTTGAAGTTGTTTTTCTAAAATATTTGTTCACAGTGACAAAATGTTGAATTACACTGTGTGTGTGTGTGTGTGTGTACACGCACACATGTGCATGCACAGAGGGTGTCTGAGCATCTGAAAATGTGCCCTTGTGGATGTCTTTGTGACTTGTCTCTATGTGAGTCTAAGCATGGCTTACATTTTGTATTGCTGAGATGAAATACACAACAACCAAAATTGGAGGAAAAAAAAACTGGCTCACAGTTTGTAGAGGTTTTAATCTACAATTGGGTGGCTCCAGAGCAAATGGCATGGCAGAAGGGTATTACAGAAGAGAAACAGCTCATGGTGGGCAGAAGGCAGCAAAGCAGGAAGTAGCAGGCAGCAAGCAATGACAATGGCCCTCTTTTTGTCCCTTATATTCTATTTGGACTATGGAACAAGTATATCTCACATAGAGTAGGCTTTCTCATTATCCACACTCAGAACTACGTCAAAGCAATCAGTGGACTAATTTAGCAATCACCCACTCCTAATCTCAGCACCATACATTTAGATCCATTCACCTCTAACAAGCTTCACATATGACTTCAGGAGACTTTGGGGAGATATCTACATTTAAACAATAACATTCCACCTCTGTACCCCCAAAGATTCATGTAATCCATTTTTGCAAAAGACATTTAATCCATCTTCAAGAATCACCAAAGTCCTAACAGTTTCAGAATTGCTGAAAAATCCCAGTCTGAATCTCCTCTGAGATTTAAAGTGAACTCTTAGCTGCAAGTCACTGTATGAATGGAAAGAAAGTTAAACACTTCCAACACACAATGGTACAAGATAAATATTCCCATTCCAAGTAGGGAGATACAAAGGAATGGGACCAAAGCAAGTCCAAAATTCAACAGTGCAAACATTAAGTTCTATAGAACTTATTATAATCCTGTGACCAGCATCTGAGGCAGTCTATGGCAAGGTGTGAACTCTATAGAGCTTGGGTGACTCCACACGTATAGCACTGCATGTGGTTATAGCTCTCTGGTCTCTCACCTGGGTGGGCTGTGCTCACTCCATGTACCCTTCCTCGTACAATCCATTTGATCCTGGATTCTGCGACCTTCTGAGTCTCCCATGCATCTTGAGCTTCATACACATAGCATTTATATACTGCCATCTCAGGGGCATACTGCCTGGCCTCCCAGGCCTTTTTCTCAACTCAGGAAGGTGGAAGGCTTCCTGACTCCACAACTCTTGCATTCTGCATACACCTAAAACCAGCACCATGTGGATGGCACCAAGGCCTGCTGACAGGTGTAGCAGCATCCAGATTTTTTTTCTCTCTTGGCTATAGGGGTTCAGTACATGGATTTTTGAGCACTATGAACCAGATCCTGAGGAATGGAGGACTTGAAAAATGGCAGCTTGATAGGAAGCTGGATAAAAATGTCTGTGGGTGGAAAACAGCTTAGATGCTAGAATTTGACAACATGGAGAGGGCCAGATGATTGGAGAATGATTCTTATTAAGCCAGGAGGAAACCAAAGGGAAAAATAAAAATAGGAAGAGGAAGGAAAAGCACGGGTGGAGGGCTGAAGCCTGATATGCTCACTGAGACCTGATCCATGCTGTGCGGGGTACACCCTGGGTACACCCGGGCGATCCAAAGTCATGCTGAAGCCACAGCTGCCAATAATGGGAGTCGATGAGTCCCGGGTCTTTTGATGGGAGGACACAGAGCAGTTTGGAGTGGAGTCAAGGTGGAGAAATTTATTGGCTCTTAGTGAGTACTGGAAATTGAGTCCGGGGCCACGCGGGGCAGCCAGAACTGCCTGCCCATGCCAGAGGAAGCCTTGGAGAGGACCATGTGCCTGGGCACCAAAGCCAGGTGCCATGCTGTTTTCTGAAAAGGCAGGAGGCTGATGTAGACATGGAAAAACCACATCAAGCTAGAATATACCTCTGCAGAGGAAGGAAAAACAGAAGCGGGGGGCTGGAACCCCCCTGCACACTCACTGAGACTGGGCTGCACTGGCACTGTGCTGGGAGTGCCAAGGAGTCAGGCAATTCAAGGTCGAGCTAAAGCCATGGCCACCCCCCCAATAATGGGAATTGTTGAGTCTCGACCCCTTGCGGGGAGGACACACCACAGCATGGACTGGAGCCAAGAGGAAAAACGGAATTGATTCCCAGTGAGTGCTGGGCATTGGGTCCCACAGCTGCTATTGCTGGCTGGAGGACATCTTGGAGTTGGGCAGAGCCCGGCACTGCAGAGGCTTCAGTTGGCTGCCTCTGGTACAGAGAGGACTGGTGGAATCCACTGGGGCTGAGCTATACCTCTGGTTGGGACACAGTAGCCAGGGGCAAAAAGGTCACAACTCTGTGACATCAACAAGATGGAGCCTAAGTGCCTGAAGGGAATTGCAGATCGACTGGCTCAGAGGCTAGAGGCTAGCCTGTACCATTCCTGTGACCCTGCATGTACCTCAGATAACAGCAAATGGGGGAGGGCAGCAAAATCCCAGTCAGCAGGCTTCAGAAAGACCCTAAGCAATACTGAGAGGGTCATAGACCCCCAGGATACATCTATCTGAAAGAAACCAGTAATATGACAAAAGATAGAAATTTAAAAAAACACCTCCAGCCACTATCTCTAGGAAAATAAGCCCAGGAGAGGTAAATACAGAAGAGTACCAGTGCAGCAATCATGCATTATTAGCCACAAGATCAGCAGATATAAAGAAATACCTTCATGACCTCATAGACAAATTTAAATCTGTACTTCTGATCCAAGTAAGGCAAGATATAAAAAGATTAATTAAAGAAATGCTAAGCCCCTCCCAAGAGAACACAGATGGAAGAATGGAGGAACTCAGAAAAAGAAGAGAAACCTTTGATGAAAATAAAATCTAGAATACATGAAACAGATCCAAAGGGACTACCAGGAAACTAAAAACTCCATTGAACACTGGCAAAATACCTTGACAGAAACTAAAGTTAGCCTTTTGAAACTTGAAAGATTTATGATATGTGATCATGAAAAAAAAATCTCTTAAAAATAACAAGGAATTAGGAAGAAACAATTCAAAGGATAGAAGATGAAAAAAAGGATTTATAACTTAAGAATATAAAATGTGAGTGAGGAAGCAGGAGTAACTACAAATGAACTACAAAGACTATTCACAGATATAATTAAGGAAAATTTCCCAAGCATAAGAAAAAGAAATGATATCCAGATAAATGAGGCATACAGAATTCCAGCCACCTACAACCAAAACAGATCTACACCCAGACATATAATAATCAAGATTCCAGAAATCCACCACAAGAACAGAATATTAAAAGTGGCCAGAGGAAAGAAGCAGATCACCTACAAAGGACAAATCATCAAAACAATGACAGATTAACCAACACAAACTCTCAAATAGAGAAGAGCCTAGGGGGAAATAGTCCAAGCCTTGAAATAAAATAACCTCCAACCAAGACTGATGTACCCAGAAAAACTCTCTCTCAAAATTAATGGAGAAACAAGATATTTCCAAGACAAGGAGGAACTGTGGGAGTTCATGGCCACCAACCCAACCCTACAAAAAATACTGAAGGACCTTCCTTGAGAGAGAGAGGAAAAAATATCAGGATTCCAATAACAGAGGTAGAGAGGCTTCAATGAATGGGGCAGACAGTGGAATGAAGGAGTAAAGTGGACAAATAATAGCAGAAGAACAGAATAGCAGGGATGAGACAGAGACAGTAAGCTATAATCTTTAATATAGATAGCCTTGATACACTAACAAAAAAGAAACACAGGCAGAGAAGATTAGGAGACAGGATCTATTGTGATGCTCTGAACAGGAAATACACTCAACCTAAAAGAGGGTTAATAAACTGAGAGTCAAAGATAAGAAAACAATGCTATATGTGACAGGAAACCAGAGAGAAATAGGGACAACTCATCCAGCAGCCTCAGATAGGTTGGAAAGTTATAACACTTTTGTGCAGTGTAGAACTACAAAGCTAGAAGAAAGGAAAACCTTGTGGCTTTAGTAAGTAAAGGAGTACAGCTCAAGATTAAGCTCAGGGGTAAAAAGGTTCAACAACACTCAGGCAGATAACAGGTTGACCCCTTCGTCTAAAAACTAAAGGAGCTAATGGGA